GATCCGGGCCATGAGCGAGTAGGAACTTTGCAGGTCGTGGAACGCGCTTGTCTAGGGCTGGCTGGGAGGACGCTCGGTATCGTTCACCGAAGAAGAAAAACACGCCATGAACATAAACTTGTGGCGCTCCGCGCGGATTTCTTGGATCCGCGCTGGGGCCACCCGGCGACGCCTCCAGCGCCGCCCCTTGCGCGCTCCGCGCGCCAGGGAGCGGGGTCCAGCGCAGATCCAAGACATCCGCGCGGATCACCAACAGTTTATGCAGTTTTTCCGTCTTCCATTTGAACCGGCCTCTATCTCCATGAGGTTGGTTTGTTCTACCCTCCAGGCCATGCGTGATGCCCTCTACCCCCGCCATCATGTAACGCTCCGCCCGTCGGCGCGCCCCTGGCACTGCCGCAGCGTGCGGCACCACAGTCTGGGTGGGGAGGCGTTACGGTATCCCCACCTCGTCTCCCCCTCCCATAACGCCCGTTATGGTCGCGAATCTAAGCGTGCGCTCCATCCCCTTTTCTATCCAGCCCCCCACCATCTCAGCATCCCAGTTGGGGATCTACCCCTCGACACCCGAAGGACACCACCCATCTCTCCCTCTAGGCGTCCTAGGTGTGGTCGGAGCAGATGGGGTCGGAGGATCGCCGCGCATCGCCGATGCATCGGCGATGCGGCTCCATGTGGGGCCTTGATTGCTTTACGCCGACGTCGCCGATGCGCCGCCGACGTCGACGGCGCATCGCCGATGCATCGGCGATGCGTTGGTGATGTGGCGCGATCTTTCGACCGCGTCTACTCGGACCCCAGCTGGGAGGCCTCTGATCCAGGGGGGCGAGTCGGCCAGTGGGGCCCAGGCCACGCCGGCCCAGGGATCGATGAAACGATGCTCAGAAGCCAGGACCGGGAATGTCCACGAGGGAGGTGTTGACTGCGGTTGGCGTCGGACAGGTAACGGGTAACGTGCGATGTAGCGCCGCCGGCCCGCTTATTAGACTCTATCTTCCACCTTCAGGATAGCGTGTACAGTCGGTGCGCTGGAGAAGGAACCCTTTTCGTTGTGGAGGGGCTCCGTGTTCCTTAATTGTTTCACAGCTTGCCTCAGGGTTTCCTCATGTTTTCGATGGGAAATCGAAGTTTAACTTATGGGAAAAAGGGGCCTCGTTCCTTATTTAGGGTTCCTTGGGTCAACGCCCCGACTGTACCAAAGAAACCCTGGCAGACGGGGATGGCGTGCACACGCGGCTCTCGGGGGGGGCATCGCCCCGCAGGAATATATCGTGTTGTTCGGAGGGCGGCGTGGCACGCTCTCCAACGCAGACCGTAGGAGGGCGGGTGTCATGGCCACGACCCTGATATCTTCCAGGATTTCATGGCCCCTCTGTCTCTTTCAATGCATCTCTTGGTCCACCTCTGGGCCGCGCACGTGCTCAGGGCCACAGTTTGCGAAGCCCTCTCTCTTTTGGACGCCCCCTTTTTGGACGCCTCCGATGGGGGATGAGTCGTGGGGATCGCGGGGGTGATCATGAGGAGAAGTGGGGGGGGCCAACGGGGGGAGAAGCGGGGGAGACGTCGTGGGAATGACCGGGGGGGGAGGGAGGCGTAGTACGGGGAGGTTAGAGGGGGTTGGCGTGGGGGTGGGGTCATGAGGAGGGGGGGAAAATCAGGGAGGAAGTTCCTCCTCATCTCCCACCTGCTCCTCATTCTCCCCCTCCTCCTCGCGGCAGGGATGGTCCCAGAGCTGGAAGAGGGAGGTAGCGACGCGTGCCCTCCTCGCGGGCCGCTGCGACCATCCGCCTCGAGCTCGTGTGGCTCGGGCGCTCCTGGGGAACCGGGCCGGGCTGCGGGCCTCGGGAGGGCAACCCGAGAGGTGCCGCCTGTGCTCCAGGCAGCGTCGTCGTCGTCGTCGTCGTCGTCGTCGTCGTCGTCGTCGTCGTCGTCGTCGTCAAGGTCGGGCTCGAGGATGGGGGGGTTTGGGAGGGGTTCGGGGGTGGAGGTTTCGAGGGTCGGCGCAGCTGTGCGGCTGACGCCCTCCCGAAGACCTGGCAGGAGCGGTGCGGCGTCCCTGCGGGCGGCAGGGGGTGTCAGGGGGCAGCCAAAGCCTGGGAGAGGCCACGGCAGACCCCGCAGGGCCTCCGGGTGGGCCCAGCACCGGAGGGGCCCAGGCGGGCCTGGGGGGCCGCCTCGGGATCCTGCAGGTTCTGCGCAGACCAACACAGACTCGCCGACATGGGCCCAGCGCAACACCTCTCGCACCAGCTCGTCCTCGCCTTCCCCGCCACCTGTTCCTCGGGGGAGAGGCTTCAGGGGGACACGCGTCGACCCCCACTCGCCCACTCGTCCCCGGCATGGGGCCCGATAGCCCACGCCGCCCGGGCGCGTGCTGCTCAGTTGTCGGGGTCCTGCCGCCGATCTATCGGCGAGGTATCGCCGATTCCCTGTCAAGCTTCCCCCCCTGAGCGAGTCCCCCCATACCGTCCCCCCTCAACCTGGCCTCGCTCCGACAAGTGCATGTTTTCTCGGTCAGGGCCACCGAGGAGCATCCTGGGCCATCTTGGGACAACAACACGCGCGCGGCGCCGAACCGCGCACGGGGCATGGACGTCCGAGCGATGTGGCGAGTTCCATCGCCGAGGTATCGCCGATTCCCTGTCGATCTGTCCCCCCCCCCCTGGAGCGAGTCCTCCCCGCACCGTTCCCCCTCGAGGCTGTGGGGGGGGTTGGCCCAGATGGGGGGCCCCTCGTGCTCCTCCTCCTCGTCCTCGTCCTCTTCCTCTTCCTCCTCCTCCGCCTCAGGGACGTTGTCCTGGGGGGAAAGTCGGGGAAAGTCCTTCTCCTCCGCCTCCGCCTCTTCCTCCTCCTCCTCCGCCTCCTCATCCTCCCCCTCCTCCCTCCCCCTCTTCTCCCCCTCTTCTCCCCCTTCTCCCCTCCTCCTCCTCCTCCTCTTCCTTTTCCTCCTCCTCCTCCTCCTCCTTCTCCTCCTCATCCTCCTCCGCCTCCCCCTCCCTCCTCCTCCTGCTCACGTGGAGAGCTCCCCAGGCGCCACCACTTTGGGGGATACCCCCAGAAGAACGCTAGCACCGGCGATCGGGCGGGGGGGAGGGGGGGCAGGGCGCACGGAGGAGGAGGAGCGAGGATTGGAGGGGAGGAGGGGAGGAGGGAGGAGGAGGAGGAGGAGGAGGAGGAGGAGGTGGATGAGTAGGACTAGGAGGAGGAGGAGGAGGAGGAGGAGGAGGAGGAGGAAGAGGAGGAGGAGGAGGAGGAGGAGTAGGCGGAGGCGGAGGAGGAGGAGGAGGAGGAGTAGGAGGAGGAGGAGGAGGAGGGGGGAGGTGGGAGGAGCGAGGAGGGGAGGGATGATGATGAGGATGAGATGAGGATGAGGATAAGGATGAGGAGGAGGAGGAGGAGGAGGCGGAGGAGGAGAGAGGAGTACTTCGGAGCAGGAGGAGGAAGATGGAGGATCAAGGAGAAAGGAGGAGGAGGAGGCGTCGGAGGAGAAGGCGGAGGCGGAGGCGGAGGCGGTGGCGGAGGCGGAGGCGGAGGCGGAGGCGGAGGCGGAGGCGGAGGAGGCGGAGGCGGAGGCAGAGGCGAAGGAAGAGGAGGAGGAGGAGGAGGCGGAGGAGGAGGAGGAGGAGGAGGAGGAGGAGGAGGGGGAGGGGGAGGAGGAGGAGGAGGAGGAGGAGGAGGAGGAGGAGGACGAGGAGGAGGAGGAGGAGGCGGAGCAGGAGCGTCTGCGGGCGGAGGGGCGAGGAGCAGGCGATTCGAGAAAGGGGATGATTATTTCTTTGGGGAGGGAGAAGCAACATGCGTGAAAGCATGCGGTGGTCCGCGCGAATGTCTCGGCGTTCTTGCTTGGAGCTTCTCCTGGCCCAGCGAGGTCTCCAGAGGCCCTCGGAAGAGCTCTCCGTCTCCGTATTTGTCTGCCTGTCCTTGTCTCTCTTTCTCTCTCTCTCTCTCTGTATGTCTCCCTCTTTTTACTTATCGTTCGTTCGATGCATGTCTTGTTGTCCCGTCTCTCTATTGCTCACGGTTTGTTTGTTTCATAGATATATCTCTCATTGGTTTCCTCTCGTTCTCTCTCTCTCTCGCCCTGTCTTTATTGTTATTTTGTTTGTGTTCTCTCTCTCTCTCTCGCTCTGTCGGCAAAGTGTAAAGCTCTTCGGCAGAGCGCTATGCTCTCACAATTATGCCTTCCATCGCCTGTACACCGTCTTGCTCTGTTCCGCCTGTGAGGAGAGCGTGGACATCCTGTGGTGAGCTGCCCACGGCGGGGTAGAAGCGCCAGATCGTACAGCTACACTTGCTGGCTCAAGGCTCGCCGCTTCCAGGTGCTTTCCTCTCGTTCGGTAGCAAATGATGGGAGCCTGGTATACCGTATACCCGCATCATTCCGTCTTTAGCGTCGCTTAGCGTCGACAAGCGTGCGGGAGTCGATGAGATGTGCCAATTTAGCGTCGGTTAGCTTCGATTAGCGTCGACTAGCGTCAATTTAGCGTCGACTAGCGTCGACCCGCATCTATTCGCAAGAGCCGACAAGATTGTACGGGGGGCTCCCATGAGTTGCCACCGAACTCTCGTCAGGATCTTTTTCCTGAAGAGTTGCACCCCAGGGCCAGGATCTGCCGTGCGCTCCTTCTGCCGAGGGTAAAAAAGAGCATCGCAGCATGACTTCCCTCCACGCCAGCGCCGCCATCACCAGCATCGTCGCCTGTGGCTATTCGGGTTCAACGGCAGATTTCTGTCTTTGCTGCTGCTCTGCAGGTTCCCAGCAGATGATGTGGTGGGTGCTTATCTTTGGATTCCTGCTGCCGGACATCGCCGTCACAAAAGGTTCAGCTAGTTGGGAAGGCATTCAGGGAGCAAATTATGTGCCTTCGTATTCTCGCCACGACGTCATCGACATCTTCACGTCCCAGTCGTGGAACGCTACCGTGGTCGACCGTGAGTTGAGCTATGCCCGGAAACTTGCGATTACATCCTTGCGAATCTTCGTTGCATACGGTGGGTACAAGAAGGACCCAAGACCCGATATATTCCTCGACAACTACAAAACCTTCCAGCACATGGCGAAGTCGCACAATCTTTCGCTGATGGCGACTATAGGTTCCCATGGTACGTGCCAGGATGCCAAGGGTCGACTTAAACGATGTTTGGCCGAAGTTTGTCTCATGTCGTTTTGGACGATTTTGTGTGTTACGCTATGCCTGCATTGTTGTTTTCCAGTTTTTTGGTACTCGATCCAAACGTCAGTGGGCTTAATCTAGTTTTGGTTGACCTTTGGAGGAAGCCTCTCGTTGGATCCACGCTGTTGTCAGCGCAGAGGTTTCTGGAGTGATCATCGCGTACGAAGCCGGTAATGAGCCGCCCCATTGGACGATGGGCTGGGTGAAAAATTGCAGCCTTCCTGTGCTTTTGAATGCCTCCCGCAATCCGGGTGTACGAGTCGGCGTGGGGTATGCACATTTCATGGAGGTGCCATCGCCGCTATGCCATCCTCAGAGCCAGGGGTCCCGGGAGTGACCGAACAGATCCCCCTGGCCAGAAGACAGTCAAAGGCCGCACACCCTTGTAGAGGGTCTGTTTGATTGTTCCTGGGCCCTATGGCCCTTAAGGGTCCAAGCGTCTTTTGGGGAGGTGCTGGACACCGCCCACATGGTCACCAGCCTCAATTGGCACAGCTACTCTGGTGTCCACAATGGAGGTGGCTTGGAGCAAGAGATCAGCATACTGAAGGGTGTTGCTGCCAAGTTCAACCCACCAAAGCCATTGATGCTGACGGAATGGCATTCCAGACCAACCCAGCCTTTGGCAGCCGCCTACCCGGTCATCCGGGACAACCAGGTGGCGGCCTCGTACATATGGGCATTGGTAATTGTAAATTCCACCAGCAGGTGGCACCTACCTGTAGCTAAGGGCGACCCTCCATTTCAAGGATTAATTTGGCCGGACGGGACCATCTTCGATGACCTCGAGGAGGGCGAGTGCATGAGGTTCGGAGCCAAAGAAAACTCGAAAACGTAACACATTGTCTTTCGAACCACGTACCTTAACTCATTTTGACATTCGTCCTGTGTTGCGTGTTGGTATGATGTTTGTAGTGATTGTTTCTTGCTGACTCGGAGAGGTCCGCATGCAAGACGCTCAGCTACGTGCACCACTGCTGCAACAGGCACCCTGCCGAGGACACTGGGTATGTGATAGAGCTGCCCACTATTCGACTCGGCTGGTCGATTCATCATCGGCTTCGTCTTTTCCTCGTCGTCGTCTTCGCCATTGTCGTCATTTTCCCCATCGGTGGGCATCTCACGCCTTAGGTCTGTGTCGATCTGGTTGCGCTGTCGGTTTATGTCAGGATGATCGCCTTCACCCGATCGCGATCACCTTTCGGAAGGGCTTGCCACACCGTATTTGTAACAGCCAGAGGTTCAGGGGGGCATAACCGCCTCCCTGCGTTTTTGATAGTTTGTCTTGAGCTGGCTCTGAGAGGGCGAGGGCGAGAGGATGCGGAAGTATGATGCGCGTTGTTTGGGTGAAAACGCAGCGAAGGGTTTTTCTTGGAAAGCTTCACACAAGGAATCGTTTGGAAAGAATGGCTGAAGGTTCCTGGAAATCATTACGATTGGAATATTTGGGAAAGCCCCGCCCCTATTGATGGATTCGATGGGATAACCTCAAAACAGAAATCCTTGAGAAACAACTACTGGGGGTTCGACTGGAAAAAGTCACAAAAGGAATCCTTCGGAAAGCACCGACAGGGGATTCGATGAGAAAGCCTCACAATCGGAATCCGTTGCGGGGGGCTCACAAAGAGATTTCGTAAGAAGGCACTGGAAGACCAATCAACATTTCAGGGCAACATCTAACAAACCAAATAATTCAAAGGGCGATCGCCGAACAACACACACACAACCCTAAGGGCAACACCAAACACCATAACACACCAGTATCACACTACTTACTCCATCTCCTCCTCTCCCTCCTCCTCTTTCTCCTCCTCCTCCGTCTCCCCCTTGAAGGTTCGGGGTATGCCCCCTGCCGGCCCGAGCGAGAAGTCAGGGCTGTTGCACAACCTGTGTAATCGAAGGGGGCTTTGCCAGTCGCGCGCACGGCACCTGTGTAGGTGTTGACGTTGACCCTCTTTATGCGGATGTCCTGTCTTGTCCGTCTCCCCCTCCCCTTCCTCCTCTTCCTCCTCCTCCTCCTAATCCTCCTCCTCGTCCTCCCCCTCCCCCTCCTCCCCCTCCTCCCCCTCCTCCTCCTCCTCCTCCTCCTCCTCCTTCTCCTCACCCTCCTTGCCCTGCTTCATGGGGGGGTGGCGAGGGCAGGAGGAGGAGAAGGACGGGGGGAGGAGGGAGCGGAATTGAGGAGAAGTGGAATGGAGGAGGAGTTGGATGGAGGAGTGGAGTGGAGGAGGAGTTGAATGGATGAGTGGTTCCCCTTCTGAGGAATGGAGGAGTGGTCTTCCTCCTCCATCTCTTCCTGCTCCTCCTCCTGCTTCTTCTCCTTATCACTCCATGACGCCCCGCCTGTCATTATTCCCTTTTCCTCCTCCACCCTCCTCCGGAGCAGAAGCAGGAGGAGGATCACTCCTCCATTCCACTCCTCCCCCATTCCACTCCTCCTCCATTCCGCTCCCTTTTCCCCTCCTATCTTCTTCACCTCCTCCTGTTCCCCCCCATGCGGGACAGAGGGGAACAGAGGGGGACAGAGGAGGACTCATGGGGGTTACAGGGTTGACACAGGGGGACACGTGGGAAACACAGGGGGACAGAGGGGGGCAATCATAACTTTCGGAAAAACTGCAGGGCAACAACAGGAACAGAGAAATGGAAGTACTGGCGGCAGAAGATGTGTGAACTCATTGGTTGGAACTAATAAGAAATCAACACAATTCAGGAGGGGAAAACACACACAGAAACAATTAATCCTCGATTCCCCAGAAAATATGGGAAACTATGGGAAGTTGGGGGGAAGACAGAAACCCAGAAAATATGGAAACATATGGGGAATGGTTTTATTCGTGTGTATGTATTTGTGTGTCCTGGGGCACCTTCAACAATCAAAGCTTCCAGTGAGAATGTAGGATTTCCCTTCGGACGTTTCCTTGGGGGGGTAAGTCAGGCGCCTCCCTCTTGGGGTCGTTGTGATTTCCTTGGTTTTCCAGGCGGTGGTCCTCAAAGTTTCTGCCGCCAGTACAGTCGGGGCCCTGAAAAAGGAACCCTTTTCGTTGGGGAGGGGCTCCGCGTTCCGTAAGTGTTTCACAGTTTGCCTCAGGTTTTCCTTAGGCTTTCGATCGGAAATCGAAGTTGAACTTATAGAAAAAGGGGCCTCGTTCCTTATTTTGGGTTCCTTAGGTCAAGGCCCCGGCTGTAGTTAAGCTCCTTTTTTGGCCGTACGTTCCTTGTGATGGTTTGGTTTTCCAGGGAGGAGGTCCTTCGGGTTCGGGCGGCTTCCTCTGGAAGCGTTGACTGTTCTCTGAGTTTCCAGACTGTGTGCCTAAAGTTTCTGCCGCCAGTACTTCAGTTTCTATGTTCTTGGTTTGTTGCTTGTTTGTTCCTGGTGATTGGTTTTCCAGGGCGGAGGCACTTCGGGTTCGGGCGGCCTCCTCTGAGATCGTTGTTATTTTGGTTGATGCTTGTCTTCCAATGGTTGGCCTGCAGTTTCTGCAGTCAGTACTTAGCTTCTTTGTGTTGTTAGTTTTTCCTTGTATGCTAGGCTTTCCAGCGCCATCCTCCTCCTCCCCCTGAGCAGGAGGAGGAGGAGGAAGAGGAGGAGGCGGAGGAGGAGGACGAGGACCATGATGAGGAGGAGGAGGAGGACGAGAGCAGTGACGATTCAGCCAGTTGCGCCGAAGGAAAAGGAGGAGGAGGAGGAGGAGGAGGAGGAGGAGAAGCCGAAAGAGGAGGGCCAGGAGGAGGAGGAGGAGGAGGAGGAGGAGGAAAGGGCTTGCGAGAAAACGGCAAACACGCAGTTGTCAGTTACGCCCCTCTGAGCCCAGGCAAAACCCATGTGCCATGGTGTAGGAAGATATAAAACTTTGAGGAGAAGGAGAAAGCAATTGCAACGAGTAGCATCTTCCAGATCTTTCGACCATGCGCGTAGCGTCACGAGTAGGGGAAACACGGGCGACTTCTGTTGCGAGCGGGGCGGGTCATTTTCTTCTCCTTCATCTGCAGGACCGCCTCTTTGCCTTCAGCGCCGGCTGGCGCACGGTCGACTTTGGCAACCCGGTGTACACGCACCCAGGTCAGAGCCCCGAATCATCAGGGGTATTTCGGGTCAGGGCTAACTCGGGTTGGTTTTGCGGGATTCCGAACCCGACTTACCCCGGACCCGACTTACCCTGGACAATTCGGGCGTCCAGAGCCCCAAATCATCAGGGGTAACTCGGGTCAAGGCTAACTCGGGTTGGTTTTTCGAGATTCCGAACCCGACTTGTCCCGGACCCAAGTTACCCCGGATAGTTCGGGCGCCCAACCAGGGGGCCCCCGAGAGGGATCGATGAGGCAGACCAGTTCACCCCTCGCCAACGTTACGATCGGCCCGCTGCCCCGTGGAACCAGGCGTGTGGCGCTCTACCTGCCGACCTCTCCCCTGGGCTCCGGCTACTCGGTGCGGCTCGGCGGGCGCGAGATCCACCGCGGGACCACGCTTGGGCCTCTTCAGTGGGAGGCCCGTGCGGTGCTCAGGATCGCAGGCCTAGAGATTGACACCAACACCAATATCGGCGCTGTTCTTCCACCGAGGGAAGAAATATCCCGATCTCGGTGATGGTGGTAATATTTTGGCTTCCAAGGTGGCCGAAATATTACCACCAACATCGAAATCTAGGATCATCTCCCCCCTGTGGAGGCAGCCACTTTGTCTTGGTGTTGGTGCCCATTTCCAGGCCTCCAACAGGATCCCTGCCGGCGAAGAGGGCAGTCTCGTGCTGACTGTGGAGGCGGCCGGGCACGCCTCGGTGATGTTCAACCTCACCGGGTGCACGTTCTTCTCCACCGCGGGCGCGGAGCCTCGGGGTGCAGAGCCTGCGCGGCTGCTGGTGTAGGCCGGCAGGGAGGCGCGAGCCCGAGGATACAGACGGATGAGGAAGCAGCACCGCGTGGCAGACGCATTTGGGCCTCATCCTCGCGTCTCACGAGCTCTCTCCCCCAGCTGGGCTCCCCGTACTAGCTAGGCTTTCGCCCTCACTGAGCGAAGCTTCAAGATTGGTCCTTCCATCGCATCCGGGGGCCGAAAACACATATCATGTTCGCCACCGTTTCTTGCTTTGGATTGGTGATTCACAGGCAAATGTGTCATCATCGACTTATGATTGCTATGCTCTATGTTGGTGGGTCAGCCTGGCGCAATCCAGGAAAACCGGTCGCAGTGTGTTACAATGTATGGTAATGCTTGGCGGGAACCTGCTCGTGTAGTGGTGTGCAAAACGGTACCCCCCATCGGATCCCCAGCCTGGACCCGACCTCCACGGGTATCCTCAGCCTGGCCTGGCGCATCCTGGGCCCAGCGAAGGTTCATTTTTGGGGCCACTCCTCCTCGTGCTTCTGCTGCCGCTTTTCCGCCTTCGACTTCTCCTCTTCCTCCAGTGAGGATGAGGGGCAACGGAAGGGGGGGATAGGCAGACAGGAGGGGTGCATCGGCCCCCAATCGCCCATTGATCGCCGATAGGGGCCCGATGGCCCCAGTCCGCCCAGGCAGGCGCGAATTCGCCATCGGGTACCCATCGCCGATCTATCGGCGACGCATCGCCGATTCCAGGTCGACGCATCCCCCCTATGCCCATCCCCCCCCCATCGTTGCCCCGCAGTGGAGGAGAAGCAGGCCCCCCCCCCCACATGTCCTCCCGATCGCTGCCGTCGCCTGCTCTCTGCGTGCGTCACGCCCGACTTCCCTCGTGCCCCCAGGGCTTCGTGCCCCCTCGGGCGCCCCCCCCCCTTGGGCTCGAGCCCAGCCCGCGCCTGGCCCACCCGTGATCTGCCCATCAAATACTTCGTTTGGCTTCATTGTTCTTTGTCTCGCATGGCTGGTTTGTCTGTGAGTAGGTTGAGTGCTTCACTTCGGCTCGGTCTTGGTTTGGCTCGCCACAGTGGTACCGCTTATATCAGCGTGTGCGCACTCCAGTTTCCGATGCACGCGGTTCTGTGGTGCGCAACAACACATTGACAGCAGCAGTGTGCATCCGCGCTGGCTGCAGTCTCCCTCTTAGCGAGACGCATGATCGCAGCGTACTTAAGTTCATGTCATACATATTGAATCCGCATCCATCTGCATTTAGTGTAAGCTCATGTCCAGGTCAAATTCTTCACGCTTCTTCGCATCCCTTTCAGCCCATCCTGACACGATGCCCAGGCGAGTTGCCTTGATCGGGGCAGTGTAAACCATGCAGTGGAACAACTTTTAGAGCAGTCTGGTCAGACCAGGACGAGGACGACCACGGACGAGGAGGACGCGAACGAGAAGGATGACGACGAGGAGGGCGAGAGGGAAGAGGAGGGTGGGGATGAGGAAGAGGAACCAGAAGAAGCAGAACCAACAGCATACTAATAATTCGAAGACGAGGAGGAGAAGGAGGACGACGAAGACTCTGGCAGCCGTCTTCGGGTCTTCTGGATGTCCTCTTAAGATCCTCTTGTTGGGGGGGGCATCTTGGAGCATCGGGGGACATCATGGACGCTCTGGCCGCTGCCGCCCCCACCCCTTACAGCACGTGAGGAGGGGGGTGGGGGGAAGGGAAGCGGGGATTTGACTGACGCTCGTAAGTCTATCATCACGTGAATTTTGCCGCCTGAGATTCGGCATCACGTCCCCGCTTTAGTCTATGTATGGCAATCCTGGCTGGATGTTTTCCAACCATTCTTCTGCTTGTTTTCCCCCATATCCTAAGATGGGGTTCTTGTTATCCCCCATATCCTAAGAATGGGGTTCTTGTAATTCCCCATATCCTAAGTATGGGGTTCTTGTTATTGGCAGACCGCGCCGGAGGAACACAGGAACACCCTCACCTCCTCGTACTCAGACCCACTCAGACTCACTCATCACGCAGACTCACTCATCACTCAGACTCACTCATCACTCAGACTCACTCATCACTCAGACCCACTCAACCTCTGCGCCGGAGGAACCCCCTCCTCCTCCTCCCTTCCAGTCATCACTCAGACTCCCCCATCACTCAGACTCACTCGTCACTCAGACTCACTCATCAGTCAGACTCACTCATCACTCAGACTCACTCATCACTCGGACTCAGTCATGACTCACTCACTTATCATTCAGACTCATTCACCACTCAGACTCACTCATCATTCTGATGTCGCTTTCGGAGCAGATTTGGAGGATGTCTCAGGCGATTCGCTCGTCTCAGCACTCTAAGGGGTCGGCTGGAGGGTATCTCACTCGGTCCCGTTCGCGGAATGTTGTGGGGATGTCTCAGGCGGTTTGGCCATTTGCTCTTCCAACATGTTTCGCTTTCGGAGCAGATTTGGAGGATGTCTCAGGCGATTCGCTTGTCTCAGCACTCTCAGGGGGGCGGCGGGGGGGTATCTCACTCGGTCCCGTTCGCGGGATTTTCTAGGGATGTCTCAGGCGGTTTGGCCATTTTCTCTTCCAACATGTTTCGCTTTCGGAGCAGATTTGGAGGATGTCTCAGGCGATTCGTTGTCTCAGCACTCTAAGGGGGGCGGCGGGGGGGTATTGCACGGGGTGCCGTTCGCGGAATTTTGTGGGGATGTCTCAGGCGGTTTGGCCATTTTCTCTTCCAACATGTTTCGCTTTCGGAGCAGATCTGGAGGATGTCTCACGCGATTCGCTGGTTTCAGCACTCTAAGGAGGGCGGCGGGGGGGTATCTCACTAGGTCCCGTTCGCGGGATTTTCTGGGGATGTCTCAGGCGGTTTGGCCATTTTCTCTTCCAACATGTTTCGCTTTCGGAGCAGATTTGGAGGACGTTCGCGCCCAGTTTGCGGGGATGTCTCAGGCGGTTTGGCCGTTATGATGCTGGGCATCTGTCGTTTTCGGAGCAGTTTTGGGAGGATGTCTCAGGCGATTTGCTGGTTTCAGCACTCCCAGGAGGAGGAGGAGGAGGAGGAGGAGGAGGAGGAGGAGGAGGAGGAGGAGGAGGAGGAAGAGGAGGAGGAGGAGGAGGAGGAGGAGGACAGCATGAACACGGTAGGAACAGAAGCAGGAAGGGGAGGATGATGAGGAGGAGGAGGAGGAGGACGTGGGCAACTCGAGTAGCCAGGGCCAGACGATCTAGGTTTTACTCAAACGCTTCCGCCTCACTCTCCTTCGCTCTCCGCTCTCCTTCACTCTTCCGCACTCGTACTCACTCATACTCAGACTCAGTCACACGCAGGCTCACTCGCACGCAGACTCGTTCATATCCATACTTAAACTTACTAACGCTCAGGCTCACGCTCAGAACCACTCATACTTGACTCGCTCCTGCTCAGACTCATCATCCTTCGGTCCGCTCAAACGCAGACCGACTAACACTCAGACTGCCTCACATCCATACCCAATCACACTCGGCTCACTCGCACTCAGATTCATTTCCACCGCGGTCAGCCCGGCCTCCCGGGTACTAGTTTCCCAACCAGTTGGGCCGGCGGCTTGGAGTTTGGCGCCGTGCCGGCGACTCACCCCGCTGCGCTCCCACACTCTGCCGCTTGTTCTTTTCGGTTCACACTGCGGCGCCTATGTGCGTTTGCTTGTGAATTTAGAGCTGACGGTGAGAGAGAGGAAGCGACACGCATAGTCAAACAGCGCGGTTATCTTGGGCCATATTGGAGGTCATCTCGGGCTCTCTGAGGCCGCTCGGAAGCCTCTCGGAAGCCTCTCGGGTGCCTCTTGGAGGGCTCTTGGTGGCGTCTTGGGGCCGCTCTTTTGGCCGTCTTGGGAGCGTTTTGGGGGCCCTGGAGGGCCTCCTGGGACCATCTTGGAGGCCGTCGGTCAAAAGAAGGGGGGTCCTCGATGTCTGCACCCCCTCTCGGGGGCCACGATCCTCGTGAGGGGTGTCCAAAATTTGTCCCCCCGCTGGCCCAACAAGGAGCCTCCGACACCTCGCGAAACCTCCCAGAAAACCTCGGGGAGGGGAGAGGGATGGTTCCCCTCCTCATGGAAGAGGGGTTTGGGAAAAAGAAGGAGACCCTCCTTGGGACCTGTCGCCCAAAGGGCTGGTGGGATTAGACACTCGGGCGTGGCGTCGTGAACGTATGGCCCGCTTGGTATTAGTTGATACGGGTTTGTCCAGTGGCCGCACGCTCATTCAACGCGAACGTTCCGCGTCGTGAAATGAGACTGCGGGTCTTGGGCGAGACTTCTGAAGCCAAGCGGTTTCCCGATATTTCCAGCAACGGCGCGTGGGCAACACCGTTGCAAAACGTGCCATGGACAGCCCAAAGGTTCGGGAAGTGCTTATGTTGAAATTCTTGCACAACGTGTGTCGTCAGTCTGATTCTCACGTGTGCGCGCGCGTGCGTGAACTTCGTCTGCGGGATTCAGAGGGGGTCGATCAGTCCAGGTGTTTTCCTTCGGACAGGAGAACCTGTGCGATTGAGTCAACACGTGCATCCTGGAACGCAGGCCAGCTCACGAGGCGGCCACCATGGCCTCTCCCTCCTCGTCCCCCCAGCCTCCTCCTCCTTCTCCTCGTCCCCCCCTGCTTCCTCCTCCTCCTCCCCAGTACAGATCTAAAGGCATTAGAAGTTCGCAGCCTATCCTGCGTTAAGATTTGAAATGGGGGGGGGAATGAGGCAGCAGCAGGCGATGCACCGTTGGATATAAGGGATCAACCCAGAGCACGACCTGCAACTGCAGAAGAGAGTCGTTCAGACACACAGCAGATACGGATCCAGAGGAGGGCAGGCCCTCGGCCCCAACCACAGTTCCAACTCCCCCTCCCGATCACACTGCATGAGAGACGCCTGAGACAACTCGGCCATGAAGGCGCAGCACACACATTCATACAAGGCACACGGAAGAGAAGACGAGAAACCTTCTTTCGTAATCCCTTCGCTAACATGCCCATGATCGCCGTTGCACCTCCATCCACCTTGATGCGCAATGCCGCATCCCAAGCTCTGAAGTCCTATCCCCAGCACAGACACAGGGTCCCAATAGGCCCTCCCAGTGATGGCGCACATCTCCATCTTGTGCACTCCCTCCAAGCAGCACTTGCGCAAGTCACCGAGCACAGGAAAGGCCACACAATCCAGATCCATCCCAAGAAACTGGGGGGCCACCAGGGCCCAGGGGAGAAGAGCATGTTTAGCAGCACAGGCCAACAAGGCGAAACCCCGAACCACTCTGTTTCCCTCCTCAAGGATCCCGCGCTCCCTAGCGTTCAAGATCTCATTGCCCCACGCGGCATACACGGACCGAAGAGCCTTCTCTTGGAGACAGGCGGTGCTTTTCATTCGGGGAAGAACGCCTATCCCGCCAGCCACATCCCCCTGTTTAATTCGTCTCGCCCAAAAATCGAAGTCAGCCGTGCTCAACAGGCTGGAATCAACATGCAGCAACAGAAGCTCTAAGCCAGTGTTAATCCTGGCCTCTTCCATGCCCGCAACAAATCCAACGCGGTGCGAGTCCCAGACCCCAATCTCAAAAAAACGCTCTGCGATCTTGTGGTGGCCGAGCTATCGGCGCTACACTGTTGTCAGCCTGCAGACGCAAAACAGGAGCCTCCAAAGCAGCTCGCTCCACCTTGGCACCTCGAGGCGCGGCTGGTGGGCCTATCATTCGAAACGCTGCCTTGTCCACACGCAGCTCCTCCCTTCCTGTTGGCCGCCTGGTGCCTGAGACTGTCCTCCCTCTCCTTCTGCACTAACTCCCTATCCACCCCCTTGCAAACTTTCCTCCAAGCAATGCAGCACTGAACTTGCTGTTCCAGGTGCTTGATCAAGCGCCCCCTCGTGTGAAATTGAAACATGCATATTTGACACGTCGTTCCCGTCGCCCACCTGTCAGCATCATCTTCCCCCTTGTGGAATCACCCCTTATGGATACACAGGCCTTTCTCAGATGGTGCAGTATACCCGCACTCGTAACATACAAACACATCTAGCATGTGGGCTTGCGACACTTGCAGCTCAACCGTGCCATTGCCTACTCCACTGGCCCCCTCCCCTTCAACGAGATCCCCTCCGACGCCAAATTTGTTACACCTTTTTGAAACTCTCTGCCTAGCTGGGACTGCTGCTGAAGGAAGAGCTCCATCTTGGCCCCTTCCTTGATGAGATTGCGAAAACATCTGGCGTCGCTCCGAGCAAAAAAACCAGCCAGTCATCAGGGGTGCCCGCATTGGGCACATCTTTTTTGTTAGTGGCTTCGTTAAGCCAACCCAGGTCCTTCTTTAATTCCCCCACCCAACTGTCCGTGTGGACCCAGAGGCAGTCGAGACTGACTCTCAGCCACGCGGGGGAGCTAGCTAACAGTCTCGGGAGGTAACGCAGACGAGCGATCCGAAGCACACTCCTGTGACCAAGGCGGCTCACTCTCAGGATAACCGAATTGTGAGACTCATGGCTGTCTTTGCATCCAGCCAGCGGGAGTCCGAGCGCCGCCCTGTAGGCAGCAGCCTGAGCAGCCGCAAGCAACGACACAGGGTTCACACACGCAGCAATTGAACCACAGCTTGGACAATGCGTAGGCGTCTGTGTACTTGGCTTTGACATGCACAGCCAACCCTTGCCTCCTGCCTAAAGCAACCTGGATGGGTCGGAGCTTTTTTTCTCATGCAGCCGCTCCTGCTTGAGATCTCGACACAAGGATGGCGATTGGCCGTGAGCATGGTCCCTAACCTTTAATTTGGCTCACAAGTCCTACCTGAATAGAGTGTTTGGGAGACGTCACACTGACCTCCCCCCCTTCCTTGGCAAACTCCTGCTTAACTAACTTGGAGTAGCGTCCCTGCAGCAAAAGCATCAGAGAAGTCTTGCTCGCGTTGAGCTTGAGTCCGTATCTGGATACGGTTCCCGTAGACTATGTCAATGAGCTGTCCAGTTTTTTCTTTCGCACACCTAGGGTCAGAGAAAGCCGCAACGGGCGTCAGGTAATCGACAAAAGCAACTTTAGCATTACAACACCCTCAGTCATCAGGCTTCGAGAAGTGGCAGGGCCTTTGGTCGGGAGCCCACGCAAGCCCCAAGGACCTCATCTTTCGCTCGATCTCGCTGGTGATGGGTTCAAAGGCCACATTGAACCCGTCCGTGGCAAATATGGTGCCAGGTCTTGTGCCCAACACAGGCCGCACGAAGTGTGAAGCGTTCCTGACCCTCCACCAGCCTCCCGCTTGAGACTCCCTCACGAGTTCTCGCAAATGCACGTCCTCAATTTTTCTGTCCAGGATTGGAGAGCTCTCGAGCGCACTCACCGCCGAAAAAAGGGCCTCAGGTGTATCGCTCCTCCTCCTCCTCCTCCTCCTCCTCCTCCTCGTCCTCCTGCTCTCCCTCCTCCTCTTCCTCCTCGTGCTCCTCCTCCACCTCCTCCTCCTCCGCCAGTGCGACAACGGGTTGACAATGGGCCAGAGTCCAGCGCACAGCCAGCGCACGAGGCGGCGACGAGGCAGGTGGCGACGGGCGGGCGCCGGGGCAGAAGTTTGGCGCACCCGGCCAGTGCACGCGGCGGCCACGGGGCGGCGGCAAGCGGGCACCACGCGGACATCTGGCACATTACCAGCCTGGGACATATCCCTATCCCTATGCTGGGCACCTCCTCATCACGATGCCAATCTTAGGGATTCCCTTATTTTTTGAGGGCGAATCCCTAAGATGGTCATCGCCTTTTGGCGTGTCAATCTTAGGGATAGGGATACGTTCGAGGCTGGTAAGCACACGCAGGCAGCTCACGCGGAAGCGATGTGGCGGCGACGGGCGGGCTTTTCGGGAAAGGCTGGCACGCCCAACCAGTCAGCTAGAGAGCTAGATTCAGGGGAACAAAACTTGGCATAAACATAGAAACTCGGAGGTCCGCGCGGATTTCTCGGATCGGCGCTGGGGCACCCCGGCGGCGCTTCCGGCGCCGCCCCTGGCGCGCTCCGCGCGCCAGGGAGGGGGTTCCAGCGCCGATCCCAGAAATCCGCGCGGACCTCAGAGTTTTTATATTTATGTGACTTTTTGTTCCCCTAAGATTTAGATACCGTTAGTTGAAGCGCGGTTGGGGGAATCAGACTTGGTCATCCTCCTGTGCCGCCCGCTTCCAGCACTGAGTGTCCTCCTGCTTCTCCATCGTCGTGCTTCTCCTTCCGTCCCTCCCCGTGCCTCCCCGTCATTTCCTTCTCCTGCCAGCTTCCGATCCCCCAACAGGCGGAGGCCCGACCATCAGTTCCAATGAGACAAAGCAAGTATCCAACATTACAGACCAGTAGCCATATACTACGATCCAATAATACAAACCAATGGTTCCAATAATGCAAACCAACGGGCAAGGCGGTGTTGGCTCACAGGGGATACCACGAATCAGTAGAATTCATGGTTGGCACACGTTGGATTCATCGTGTTTGAGTTCTTGGCATATGTAAAACCAGCGTTTTTTCACGAATGCTGTTTCTCTTATCCCAGGGACTGGTCACATTTCTGGCACATGCGACCCATTAATTCCAATAGGTCGAAGAAGTCAACCAATAATCCCCGACCCGTAACTCGAGCACCATACTTGTGTGGATCGAATCTTCCGTTATCGGAACTATTGGCTCCAATTCTTGGAACCGATGGTATGAATCAGTCGTGTCATTGGCTCCGGGTACATGGAATTCTTGGATTTGATGGTCGGCCTCCGCATGTTGGAGAGATCGGGAGTTTGCAGCCATGCTCCCTCCTCAAGAGGATCCAGAGCAAGCCGCAGGCTGAGGCAAACAGACTCGAGGTCAGGACCACTCATCAGTAACTACAGGTTCCACGTCTAAACCCCTCCCTCCTTGCTGAAACACGAAGGGGAGAGCTCTGGAAACGCGCATCTGCTCACGTAGTGGTTCGTTATGTTGCCGGCTGGCCGGCGGCCCGTTGGGACTGCAAAGCCAGTTCCAGCTGGCCAGACGGAAATGGTGGGCGACTTGCCTGCCGACCCCGACCGGAGGAAGGGGAACGTTATGAGGAAGATGCCAGAGGCCTCGCGCGGGGCGCCATACAGTGGGGGCGCGTGCCAAGAAACCAGTTGGATTGGAGAGGCCTGACGGCCGGTGCCGCCGACCCTGATCGAAAGGGCTAGGAGTGGGAGGAGGAGGAGGAGGAGGAGGAGGAGGAGGAGGAGGAGGAGGAGGAGGAGGAGGAGGAAGAGGAGGGAGGAGGAGGAGGAGGAGGAGGAGGAGGAGGAGGAGGAGGAGGAGGAGGAGGAGGGGAGGAGGAGAGGAGGAGGAGGAGGAGGAGCAGGAGGGGGAGGAGGAGGAGGAGGAGGAGGAGGAGGAGGAGGAGGAGGGGCAGGAGGAGGAGGAGGAGGAGGAGGTGGGAAGAGGAGGAGGGAGGAGGAGGAGGGAGGAGGAGGAGGAGGAAGGAGGAGGAGGAGGAGGAGAGGAGGAGCGGGAGGAAAGGGAGGAGGAGGAGGAGGGAGGGGAGGAGGAAAAGGAGGAGGAGGAGGAGGAGGAGGAAGTGCATCCTTTGTGTGCTCGCTCGAAGAAAGTGCGCCCCGGGAGTGTGATATTCTGACTTGGGACGTGCTCCCGGAAAAGGGAAAAGTGCATCTCGGGCGTGCCCGGTCGAGGAAAATGCGCCCTAGGGGGGTGGTATTTTGACTCGGGGCCCGCTCCCGGGACGCCTCTGCGGGAGGAGGAGGAGGAGGAGGAGGAGGAGGAGGAGGGCAGGAGGAGAGGAGGAGGAGGAGGAGGACCAGGAGGAGGAGGAAGTGCATCCCGTGCGTGCCCGCTCGAGGAAAGTGCGCCCCGGCGGGCGTCGTATCTGCCCCGGCCCCCCCCCCCCTCCCCCCCCCCTGCGGAGAAGGGATCAAAGGGAAGGGGCTTCCCTTCGACTCCACTAGGACGTCGTTTAATTTCGCTTTGGGTAGCGCGCTTGAGGAGGAGAGCCTTGGGAAAGGGGGAGAACGGCGACGACGGAGAAGACGAGTCGAACGGAGAAGCCCCTCACACACGCCGACAGGGTCGGCGGATTTTGCCAGGGTGCCTTGGGTTTCTTGGATTTCGATGGGCTCCTAATCAGATCTTGACGATTTTCGATCGACACATGTGGACTTCCACTGAACCAATCGCGGAGTTCAGGGGTGGGTTTCTTGCAGAGGTTTCTTGTGGCCAAGCCCCCACTGTAGTTGTACTGTCCGGTCCACGCGTCCGCTCCGTAAGGTATGGGTCGACGTTCGCGCGACGATGCTCCGCCGCGACGCCGACGTGCAGCCGACATGCCCAGTCCGACGTACAGCCGACGCAACTCCGACGTGGCTCCGGCGCAGATTGTGATGGGCCGATTTCCCACCACCACCACAACCATAGGCAGGACGGGGGCGAAGGGAGGATGGGGAAGCCCTCTTCCTCCTCCTCCTGCCACTCCTACCTATTGTAGTGGTGGTGGCGAATGGGCCCATCGTGAGGTATGGGTCGACGTTCGCGCGACGATGCTCCGAATCCTGCATCCGACATACCGAATCCGACGCGAAGCCGACGCAACTCCGACGGTGGTTCCCGCGCAGACTGCGCCTCGGGCTGCCGCGCGAGAGCCCTCGAGGATGTTCCTCCCCAAGGGTGTGTGGCGGCCGTTTAGAGCCGCGGCCCGCGGCCCCCCCGGAGAGCGCGGGCCGCGGAGAGCGCCCTCTCCTCGCGGCGTGTGGCGGGCGCCCCCTCCCGCCGTGGCTTGAAAACGCAGGGGAGGCGCGCGAGGACGAGGGCGGGAGGGCGAGGGGGGCGAGAGGGGGGCGAGAGGGCGAGGGCGCGAGAGAGCGGGAGGGCGAGGGGTGTGGATGCTCCTCCTCCTCTCACTCCTAGTCTTAGCCGTTGTCCTCGTTACAATGGGGGCCCATGCCAAGAAACACCCTGCTTGCCTCCAGGGTGCCCTGGGTTCCTTGGCTTTCGATGGAGTTGTTATGGAAAGCGTGGCGTTCCCCCAGCCAAAAAATCAAAAGCCAATGGACGTCTTGGGGTCTCAGGGTTGGGTTTCTTGTGGAAGGTTTCTTGTGGATTTGCCTTCACTGTAATGGGTGCGGCACAGGAAGGGAAGAGGATGACGAAGAAAAGGAGGAGGGGGATGATGATGATGATGATGACGATGATGCTGATGATGATGATGCTGATGCTGATGATGATGCTGATGATGATGATGATGATGATGATGATGCTGATGCTGATGCTGATGCTGATGCTGATGATGATGATGATTATGATGATGATGATGATGATGATGATGATGATGCTGGTGATGATGATGATGATGATGATGATGCTGATGCTGATGCTGATGATGATGATGATGATGATGATTGCTGCGCTGTGCTGATGATGATGATGATGATGATGATGATGATGCTGCTGATGATGATGATGAGATGATGATGATGATGATGATGAGATGATGCTGCTGATGCTGATGCTGATGCTGATGCTGATGCTGATGATGATGTGATGATGATGATGAGGAGGAGGAGGAGGAGGAGGAGGAGGAGGAGGGGGAGGAGGAGATGAGGACGTGGAGGAGGAGGGCGGAGGAGGGGATGAGGACGAGGAGGAGGAGGAGGAGGAGGAGGAGGCTGAGGAGGTCACCCGCGGGGGGGGGGCCCGCTAGGCGCGCCCCGCGGCCCGCGGTCACAGGACGAGCCAGAGCACGAGCGCGGCGACCGGGCGGAGGCCGGCGGCGTGGCGGCGGAGGCCTCGGCAAGCCGCCCGGGGGGGGGCCGAGCTGCGCGCTGCCCCGCCTGTTTTCAGAGCCCCGAATCCTCCTCCGCCTACCCCTCCTCCACCTCCTCCCCCTCCTCCTTCTCCTCCCCCTCCTCCCCCTCCTCCTCCTCCTCCTCTTCCTCCTCCTCTTCCTCCTCCTCCTCCTGCTGTTCTCACTTTTCTCCTTGCAGCGGGTTTCGAATCGGCCGCCAAGAATAGGCCGTGTGCACAGGTGAAGGACCCCATAGTTGCCCTGATCCTGACCTTGAATCGTGTAGGTCTCTCATTTCTGGATCCGTGGACCTTCCAAGAGTCCGCCGAGGTTCAGTAGGACATGAGAGAGGTGTCCCCCGCCTTTGCGGCGCGCCGTGCCACGTATGTTGCCAGGCGACTGTCTGATCGGACAGGCCGGGCAAAAATAGGAAGAGACATGGCATGGCATGACAGGGAGAGATTTTTTGGCGCCCTTTGAGCGAGTGCATCCATCGCAAGGTCGCTGAAGATACTGGTGGAACTTGGGTTTTCAGGGGGCAGCGGACCTTGAGAGGCCTGGTCCTAGGCTCACACTGATACCAGCATCGATTGCACCAGCACGTCCCCCAGTTTCCAAGTGCGTGCCCGCTCTGTGGAGAAGTTGGCACCCTGTTTCATCGCCATGCCTGCTGCCCTGCGCGTGAAGCTCAGCGCAGGGATGACCTCCCTCCTGATATCAAAGCTGCTGCTCGTCGCTCGAAAAACTGCACCGTGGACCTCCAGGAGCGTTATTGCCAGAGGCGTCCTACCTGATCCCTGTCAGCTTCTCGCTCGCTGTCCTCGGGACTCTGCGTGGGAGTTCAAGGGGATGGGTGCGCCGCTGGTGCTGAAAGGAGGCCGCGTTTTTTGTGATGGATCTGGCCTGGATGGCCTGTTCCCCTCCTTCCGCGTGACGGGACAGGGTGGCGCTGTATTGTTGTCTATGATCATGGCAGGCGTTTTTTTGCAGGCTCTTAGTGGGCGGTGCCGCTCTTTCTCTGCCCTGATCAGGTCGCCAGATGCGGTGAAGATTTTCCGATGTTGATGGCTACCCCCCCCCATAAATGGAGGGGATTTTACGTTGTATTCGGATTGTAAGGTCACGCTGCAGTGTGGCACCGACTCGCATTTTGCTCGGTGGTCTGCCATCCCACGAGCGCCTTTGTTGGGATGTATCTGGCCTAGATGGCCTGCTCTCCTCCTTCCGCGTGGCGGGATATGGGCGTTGCTGCCTATGGTCAGGGCAGGCGTTTTCTTGCAGGCTGGTAGTGGGCGGTGCCGCCTTTTCTCTGCCCTGATCAGGTCGCCAGATGCGGTGACGATTTTCCGATTTTGATAGCTACCCCGCATACATGGAGGGGATTTTACATTGTATTCGGGTTGTAAGGGCACGCTGCAGTGTGCCTTCGATTCGCGTTTTCTCGGAGGCCTGCCAACCCACGAGCGCACGTGTTTGGGCGGATCTTTCGTGCTGGGAGGTTCGAGTTAATTCAGTGGAGCGAAATCAGAGCGCACTCGACCATGATCGATGTGCAGAAGGCCGCTTTTTGAGTTTGAGAGGATGGGAAATGCTGAAGCAGATCGGCTGGCTAAGGCAGGAGCGGCCTTGAGCCGCCCGCCACGACAGTCAGGCAGTTCGACTGGTCAAATGCATGCTTGTGCTGTGCAGGCAACTTGTCAGGTTTGTGACTCGGGCCGAGGTGGTTTCACTTGGAGGAGGGGCGCTTCGACAACATAGGGGCCCAGGGGTTCACTCTGGTGTCCCTCGAGGGGGATCCTGCTGTCGAGGGGCAGTTGGGGGTGGTGAGGAGGGAGGAGGCTGCTGCTGCTGCCTCGTCCCCCACGCCCCCCCCCTCAAGACCCCCTCGATGCCCCTCCTGAGCCCTCCGAGGCCCTCTGTCCCGAGCTCTCGATGCTTGCGGAGGATTCCCCCGCCAGAAACCCTGGAGGCAAGGGTGCCATGTTCTGCTTGAGTTCTCTTCGGTCTCGGATGGCCAGGCACAGTTGTTCAACATGTTCTCTTGCTACTGTGCGAGTCCACTTCACATCTTTTTGTGTCAGGGTACAGACTCACTAAACAGATGACATGCGGAAGGAGGCCCGATCCTCAGGGGTACCCTGGGGCGTCGAGGTTTCTTCTTTCTTCTTGGGCTCCGCCGGTGGGCAATCAGTGGAAGCCCGATGTGTTCAGAGAGGATGTCGGTACTCTTCCGGGCCACAGGATGTGCCCGTCCATCCGCATGGGCGCCACAGACGTCGAGCTGGCATTGGGTCAATCCGTGCCCCCTCGGTATTGCTCAAAGGCAGCAGCACGCCCACGCCTGGTTGCGCGGCAACGCGGCCCGTCCAATTCACGCCGACGGCCTGCAGGCAGCGGCGGACGGAGGGCGGTGTCGGAAGGGACCAGGGCGAGGAGACATCCATTCCAGAGCGTTCTGGAACGCCCTCAGAGCGTTCTGGAACGCTCTGAGACGGCCACGGGGCGACCGAGCCGCCAGACCTTAGAGATTCTCGATCTTTATCCTCGCCCGATGTTCTCCTCGCCCCGGCGCCGGCCGAGGAGGGCCGCGCGCAGAGGGCGCAGCCGCAGCGCCGTTCCTCTCTTCTTCCCCAGGGGCCGCCTCTCGTGCTGCTGGGGCGGGCCCTCCTTTCGCGCACAGCAGGGGCAGAACCACAAGAAGCCTTTCACAGGAAACCCAATCTCCTCCTCCTCCTCCTCCTCCTCCTCCTCCTCCCCGTCCTCCTCGTCCTCCTCCCCCTCCCTCCTCTTCCTCCTCCTCCTCCTCCTCCTCCTCCTCCTCCTCCACTCCTCCTCTCCTTCCTCCTCCTCCTCCTCCTCTCCTTCTTCTCTCCTCCTTCTCCTCGTCCTTCCCTCCTCCTCCTCCTCCTCCTTCTCGTCTCCTTCTCCTCCTTCTCCTCCTCCTTCTCCTCCCCCTCCTCCCCTCCTTCTCCCCTCCTCCTCCTCCTCCTCCTCCTTCCTCCTCCCTCCTCCTCCTCCTCTCCCCCCTTTTCCTCTCCTACCCCCTCCTCATCCTCTTCCTCCCCTTCCTCCTCCTCCTAGCCGTTCTGGCTTCACTTTTGAGGCTGAGCTTGCGAGCGCGTGCTTCAGAGGGGCTCGCGCGTGCGGGCCCATCGATTGTGCTGTTCACGAGGCCTGCGAGGCCACCCGCCAGGCACAGCAGCCCGTTCTGTGGTGGCTGGCACCACCCAGTGGCCAGGTGCTGCCTGGGCTGCGCCGGTTCCTCTGGGGCGGCCTGTGCGGCTGTGCGGACAACTGGGCGTCGAGGATCTCACGCCGCAGGTGTGTCAGGAGGGAAAAAAACACACAGACACATTTCATCGTCGATCCCCCAGAAAATATAGGAAACTATGGGAAGTGGGGGGGAAGACAGAAACCCAGAAAATATAGGAAAATATGGGGAATATTTTCATTTGTGTGTATTTATTTGTGTGTCCTGGGGCCCCTTCAGTGTGATCGTGCCGCGGAGCAGAACACTGCCCAGGCCGCGCGCAAGGCTGCAGGTGCTGTCAGGGAGGCCCAGCCGCCCGCTGGGCCCGGGCCGCCCCGCGGGCAGTTGGCCAACGGCCCGCCGGGCAGTGCCAACGCCAGGCTTATCAAACAGCTCCAGGACCTCAAGCAGCAGGTCTCGAGGCTTGCCGCCGTGGACCAAGGGCGCCAGCGGCGGCGACAACAACACCACGACGACATGTGGCGGGGACGTGCTGGCCTACCTCAACAAGCTCCGGGTCGACAGCTCGGCCATCTCGGCGGTTGAAGATGCGGAGAAGAAGGCCACGGAAGCAAGCGAGCAGAAGGATCCATCGGCCCAGACGGCGCGCTGGAGGGTGGAAAACCTCAAGACCAAGATTGGCAAGATGGAGGCGAGGTCCGTCGAGATCGAGCGTTCGAAGGAAGCTATGGTCGCGGTGTTCGCCACGGCCACAGAGTCCCTGATCAAGGCTCGAGAGGACCTTGAGCA